CCCAGCACTGCGGCGCGAGCAGGGCACGGGCCGATGCCCAGGGCGCGGGGCGACTGGCTTGAAGCGCCGCGCGGGCTGGCCAGACGGCGCTGGGGAGCTGTGGGTTGGGCTACCGTGGGGCCCGCCGTGCTTCCATGTAGTGGATGCTAGGAGCGACGGCTGTCCTTCACCACCCACCAAACCACCCCAACCCAACCCGAAGGCTCAGATTTACCTTCGATTTCTAGTGGGGGGGGGTCCGGGAACATCGAAAAAACACATATGGAGCCCATACCCCCCCCAACCCGAAATTCGGGTCTTCGGGTTGGGTTGGGGTGGTCTGGTAGGTAGTCAGTCCTAGACCGCTGGCCACCCCCGGGGGAGCCGCCCTTTCCCTTTGTTTTGCGGGGCAGCGGGGGAGTCTGCAGGTTCCCGATCACGGAGCTCGGGGCGCGCGGGACAGACTCACGGCCAGGGCGGCCAGAGGAGGAGGAGGAGGAGGAGGAGGAGGAGGAGGAGGAGGAGGAGGAGGAGGAGGAGGAGGAGGGGACGAGAAGGAGGAGAAGGAAAATGACAATGATGATGAGAGGACGAGGAGGAGGAGAGGAGGAGGAGGAGGAGGAGGAGGAGGAGGAGGAGGAGGAGGCTGATAAGGAGGAGGAGGAGGCTGAGAAAGAGGAGGAGGAGGAGGAGGAGCAGGAGGAGGAGGAGGAGCAGGAGGAGGAGGAGGAGGAGGAGGAGGAGGAGGAGGAGGGGTGTTGGGATCCTTTCTCGTCGTCCCCCCTTCTAGGGCCATCTTCTCATCTCCCCCCCTTTGCGCAGGGGCCGAAATCGAAGGACGCGTCGCCGGAGAAGGATGCGTCGTCCGAGCATCTGGACGCTGAGGGCCACAGGGAGACCGAGGCCGCTCGCTTCGTCCACCAACCTGCGGCTCGCACAGTGGGGTGGCGCGTGGGGCGGGAGTGGCGGTGTGCTACGAAGCCGTCGCCTTCTCGAGGGTGCCTCCCGAGAAGTGCCTGGAAGCTTTTTAGAAGGCGTCTCGCAAGCCTGCGGGCTCGTCTGGGAAGGTCCACGCCCACGCCTTGTAAGATCCCCCCCCGCCTTCTTAAGAGGCCGCCCCGTTCGCGCAACGGTTTTATTCGCGTCGCCAGCAGCTGTCGAAGGGAGGGGGGATCGAGGACGGTGTTTGTTCGAGATCAGTTGTTCACATGCTCTGTTTGTGTGTTTCTCCTCCGTCTGGTTTCGAGGACCCGACAACCGCACACTCGTGCACCGCCTATCCGATTCGCATGTCGTGTCCTCGCCTCCTCGACGCTGCTTGGCCAGCGTGGGCCCCGGACAGTGGGTTACACGATCGCTTCGCTCTGCCCGCGGGCCCGTGCCGTGTTGTTGTTGCCGCTTGCCCGTCTGATCGTAGCGACTGGGAGTGTGTTCGTGTGTGTGCCGGCGGGAGATGCTTGGGATGAACTTAGTGGCTCTGCAGGGCACTCTTGAGGCCAACCTGGGCGTGGACCAGATGCTTCTTTGGGGCGCTTCTGGTGTTTTTTTTTTTGTCGGAGGCCTCTCATGGGCTTCTCGGCGGCAGTGGACCAGATGCCTCTTTGGGATGCTTTGTGGGGTGTTTTCGGAGGTCACTCGGGGATCTCTTGGCGGCATTGTTGTGACGTGGCAGGCCTGACATGTGCTTTTATATTCCCCTCTTGGGGCCCTCTTGGGGGCCTTCGCATCTCTCGAGGGAGGCCTCCTGGGTCGTCTTGGAGTCTTCTTTGGCCGTCTGTGGGCCGTCCTGGGAGCCTCTTGGGCTGACTTGGGGCGGTCTTGGTGGCTTCTTGGCCCGCCTTGGGCGGTCGGAAATCCGCAAAGGCGGTAACGCCCAACTCTGTGAAATCCCTCAAGAGTCATCGCGCATGCAATGTCTTGTCAGAGCTATCCTGGGCCGTCTTGGCCACTTCCTGGGCCGTTGTTTGAAGCCCTGCTGGACTGTTTTCGAGCGCCCGTGACCTCCGGCCACCTGTTTGGTGCCTCCCGTCTGGCGCCTTCATGGTGGGGCCCGCCGCCCGTCTAGCGCCTCGTTGGGCTGCTCTTGGGGCGCACGGTGGGCCCCAGGCTTCGCGGGCGGGCGCGCGTTCAGACTTCAAAGTGTTATCTGCATGGCGAGGTAGGATGGGGCGAGGAGAACTATGCACATGCACCGATCCTGGCAAGGCCCATGCTTGACCCAGGATCGGTGCACATGCCTTCCTGGCCAAGGTAGGAGGGCTTATGCACCGATCCTGGGCTCAGGATGGGCCCGGCCAGAGTCGGTGTATGTGCATACGTAGTTCTTTTTCCTCTATATTTGAGTGCGTAAGTCTTCGTGTACATCTACCCAGGTGTAGACGCAATGCGTTTGCCCAGCTGCCTCCGGCCATTTCGCCACCGAGCCAGCGCAGCGTTCTGGGCAGCTACTCGCGAAGGCAAGGGGGCCTACTGGGGTCCTCCTGGAGCAGAAGGCTCGAACTCTGGGTTCGTGCACCCCCTCTTGGGCGCTCCTTGGGGCCGTGTTGGTGTATTCTTGGGCAGTAGTCGTGGGCGCCTCTTGGGCCGGCTTGGAGCCCTCCCGGCCGTCTTGGAGTTCTGGGCCTCCTCGTTTTGGAGCGGCGGGAGCTCAAAACGGCGAGAACCACACAAACATTGAAGCAGCGAAGGGAAATCCACGTGTTTTGCATCTCGGTGGGGGGCCTCCTGGGTGGCTTCTTCTGGCCCTCGTGGGGTCCCCTGCGCCCTCTTGAGGGGGAGGGCTCGCAGCGTTTTTTCGTGTTCACCCTCGAGGGACCTTTTGAGGGCCTTCTTGGGGCCCTCTTGTGCACGCCTCTCGGCAGGCTTGGCACCCTCTGGGGCCGTGTTGGAGCTCCGGGCCTCTTGGGCCGTCGTGGAACAGTCCTGGTGGCCTCTCGGGTCTTTTTGAGACGTCGGAAGCTCGAAAGGGCGAGAACCCAAAGTTACCGAGACAGCTAAAGAACCTCGATGGCTCTTGCATCTCGAGGCCCTCTCGGGACGGCCCTTGGGCTCCCGTGGGACGCCTCGACGGCCTCGTGAGCCGTCCTGAAGCATGTTGGACCATCATGTGGCCACTGGGCACATCTTGGAGGGATATTGGGCTGTCCTGGGGGCATCTGGGCCTCGGGAGCCAGAATCTGCTGTACTCCGCAACTGGTCATGGCCTCGGGAAGGGGGGACGGTGCGCGCGACGAAGGGCGGCCGGGAGGGGGGGCAGCATACACCCAAAAAGTTTGTCATTCGGCCGGCAATACGACCTGGGATTCAGAATGCCCCCCCCCAGAACATGATAAACTTATGTCCATGATGTTCCGCCATTATTATCTGGGGTTCAGAATGTCCAACCCAGACCATCATTAAGATGGGTTTACAATGTTCTAGGGGCCTCAGCTCCAGAACCCCGTAACAATGAGCCGGGGTTGATTATTTCAGGAATGAGAAGAAGGATTCTGTTCCCGCCAACCCACAGTCGCATGGGTGAGATATGATATTGTAGTGGCCTCCGACCAGTGCCGCCGATCCGTGGCGCTCCTGATGCTATTGTTGTTGAAATGGACAATGACGACGACAACGGACGACCAACGGTCGACGAGCGGGATAATTACGACGACGACCGACGAAGGAGTTAATCACGACGAACCGACGACGACGACGACGACGACGACGACGACGACGACGACGACGACGACGACGACGACGACGACGACTGACGGCGAACGGCTGCCGACGGCCGACGACCGACGATTGGTGACGGCGACGGGTGGAAGGTTCTTCGTTCATCGCTTTCGCTTCCGAGCAATACCAAGTCAGGCCGTGCACCTCTGGCCTGGCAGCACGCGAGTGAGCGCCTCTTGGGGCCTCTTGGTTCTTGGGGCTTCTTGGGGGTCTTTGGGGCCTCTTGGGGGCCTCTCGGGGTCCTCTTGGGGGCCTCTTGGGGACCTCTTGGGGGCCTCTGGGGGCCCCTTGGGGGGACAATTTTTAATTTTCGAACATTGGCTCTGGTTTCTTTTTTTCCCAGAACCCAGAACGTGATACAGTGGTTTCATGATTCAGGAATGGTAAACATGGAGCGACGGGGTTGTGTTTGGTCCATTAAATATGGTTCTTTCCAACCCTGGGCTCTTCACAGATATGATGAATTTGAGTCTCATATCTTCACAGGTTAGCGAATATGAGTATACTATCTCCGTGGCGGGCGCGTTTTGGCCACACCTTTCGGGAAACGATATACTACAATATGATTATCCTGTATGTTCGAGTTGGACAGCAGCCTCCGAGGACACATATTCTTTTTTGCGACCCATAACTCTCAAAATATGAACGCAAAGTGATCGCCCTCGATACAACAAACACCTTCGGAAATACCAGGAAACCCTCAGCCACATACAATGCCAGGAAGTCTCCCTCGAGGAAAAACAGAGCTTCACTCACGTGGGGGTTCCAGCGCGGTGTGAATTGGACGAATGATTATACATATGCATTGTATGCACGTGTGCATATATATATATATATATATATATATATATATATATATATGTGTATCAATATACACATATATACATACATGTATCTGAAAACGCACATATATACATATTTGTGGCAGCGCGAAGAGGAGGTTCGAGGATCGCGGTTCGAGGATCGCAGTTCGAGGATCGCGGTTCGAGTTTCCAGAACCAAGGAGGTGGAGGAGGAGGAGGATGAGGAGGAGGATGAGGAGGAAGAGGAGGCGGAGCAGGAGGAGGAGGAGCAGGAGCAGGAGCAGGAGCAGGAGCAGGAAGAGGAGCAGGAGCAGGAGGAGGAGTAGCAGGAGGAGGCAGGCGGAGGAGGAGGAGGACGAGAAGGAGGAGGAGGAGGAGCAATAGGCGGAGCAGGAGGAGCAGGAGGAGCAGGAGGAGGAGGAGGAGCAGGAGAAGGGAGGAGGGGGATGGACCCCGGTTCTGAGGCCTCCACGAGGTCCCTGGAGGGCACCGGAGTCCCTGGAG